TTACTGTAGAAGTGGACTAAAATTTGTCGTTGGTCTGCTAGAAGTTAATGTTAATAGACTCTAAAGTATACAGTCTTTCAGTAATATCGATATATATATCATTGTCAAGGACTCCTGATTTTATAAGTTGAGAAATAGCTGATTATTTCCTATGTTGTGGTAAGATTCCTTTTTCTTTCTTTTTTTTTGGATACTCTGGCAGTAGTTTTTGACCTGCGTTTATTGCTGTTAAACCAATGGAATAAGTCTATAAAGATCATGTTCCAGTACAAATATCGGTACAGAAACTGACATACAGCGAAGTAGTCTATCCCGCTCACTTCTTGGGTGATTAGCTAAACTGTGAACATTAAACGTCAACAACCAGAGAAAACTACTTGGCCAAGTGGAATTTCCACCACACAGTGGAAAAAGAAAGCAGTAACTCATTGTTGGTAAGCAGATCGGACAGGAGTGATAGTTGGCAACAGAATAGTTTTGTATTTTTTGTTGTATACATATACACGTAATTATGTTTACTAGCTGTAGTAATTTTGTATGTTTGTTTATTTGTATTTAATTTTATATATATATATATGCGTGTGTTTTTATTTATATTTAGAATAATGTTGTTTTATCTACATATAACTTGTGTTGTATGTCGTTTTCAGTTTCTGTATACCTTATGTGATTTAAGTTTTATTACTATGTTTGAAGTTTTGAATGTTTCCGTAATTATTCTATCATAATTTTGTTATATTTATTATTTTCTTGTATTTTGAGTTAATAACCATGATGTAGTTGAGTTCAGTAATGAGTAACTAAATTAAATTTTATAGATATTAATTGCCAGTTTTTAACACAGCTCCTTAGTAAACTATTAAAAGAAAGGGAGTATCATAAAAATTTCCCCATTCTGTTTAAATTTAACTGTTGGAAATTCTTTAAACGTGAAATTTGACGTTGTTGAATAATTCCCCAAACACATGTCACATCTAGATGTGGAATTACACACTTGTAGATTTGTATCTTGTATCACGATATGCATATTTGGTTCTGTATAACTCAATAACAAAGTTTTATAATTATGTATGAGTCTAATTCTGGAAACAGAGGTCTATCTGTAAAGTTTTTCCTTTGTTATTGTTTTCTCTTGACTTTCAAAGTTGACGTAAGTTGACTTTACTTGGTGTTTTAGATCTAGTTGTGAACAAACTTGTCTATTTGATAATTTGAAAGTAAAACTTATGTTTGGAATAGAATTGGTTAAATCAGCCTTAGCATTTGCGTAAACCTTAATTATAAATATATGTCAGTATATAAATAACTTTCTAAAATTTGTAATTACCATTTTAAACAGATTTAGCTAATCTTAATCAAACATCTTCCGTCAGGTAAAGGATCAGATTGTAAGTTATCTTCATTTTAAGCGAAAAGTTCAACTAAATTATTATTAAATGATGCTGTACGTTATATGCTTGCTTTGAACTTTGATTATTATATAAAAAACACTATAATTGTCAATATTATACCATTATCACAGCTTAGAAATCCATTTACCTAGCCAAACTTTGGCTTATTTCAACTTGTTTCTTAATAACGCAAATGATAGTGAGATACATGTTTAATCCATGATTTATCCAAAATTAGTTTATGCTGATAAATAAAAAAACTATCAAGGTAGATAACTTCGTATGGTTGATTAGAGTACATGCTCTGTGTTAAGTAATTCTGAAATGGATACAGAAAAATGTTCGACATGTTTATGAACAAATCCGATAATATATATATCAGCTCATATGGTGACAGGTGGAAACATCAAATCATCATATTTCATTATAGCGATTTTTACGACAGAATCAGCAAAAGAGTATCAGTAGATATTATTTGTACATTACATGATATATATATACATATGTTAATATTTTGTAATCTGCCTAGCAGCCAAACAAATTTACAATATTTTCATTTAATCATCTCTGTCACTTTTCTCAGCACCATTGCAATCCTGATCAGCTTTATATATTAACTGCTCATGTGGTATTAGTATTGGAGGAAATTGGTATAGATAATACAAAGGAAACACAAGAAAGCATTCTACTGTGTTTGCCCCATAGCATTAACAGCAATACCAAACACGTAACAGGTGAGCAACTGATCTTGTGTCATAGGAGATCCACAATATCGGACACGTAGTGCGTGACGAACTGATCTTGTATCATATGAGGTCCACAGGGAGTAGACTTTTAGTGCTATATGCTTTAATTGAAGATTGATTCACAAGTGATTACAGTCAAGCTTGGGATGGAATATGATTGCTATTTTCTGAAAGGTGTTCCATGTTATTGGGGTTCACTATTTAGCCGATCGAACATCTTCGTAAAGTAAAACAATACCAAGAAAAGTTGAATGCAGCCATACATACAGCTGTGAGGTTAGCCTCTCTTTCTCAACTCTTTCCTCTGCAAGTCTTTTCTCTTACTCCAGTGTTTTGGTTAGTGCTGGCCAGAAACCTAAAAACTCTTACGTAATCTCCAGTAAAGTAGATTTGAGAATTAGGCATGGTCGTATTCAAGGCTCTCCGTTTTTTTTATCCTCCAATTTTCAGGCTCAACAACCCATCTGATCTTGGTAACCATCCTGAAATGACTTAAACTGGTGAAAGTTGATGTTTCTTTTTTCAGTTATGAACATAGTTTCTACAAATGTTCTTCCCGAATATAAGTGCTGTAGAAAGGAGCACACATCTAAGTTATTAACCCTACTGACCACTTTATGAGTGAAGAAGTGTACCATCCAAATGTTGATACGCTTAATGTTGTGGATATTCCACCATGTCTTACCATTTTCACAAACACTTTACACATTAGAAACTTCAAGGACGAAGTTATCCAAATTACATCATATATTTTCTCTATAACTGTTGTGTTAAAATACAACTTTGGAGCATATATTACCATTAACATGGTGTGTAAAACATAATTTTTGCTACTGTATATCACAAAAATATTTTTAATATTGCTTACAGCCGTTGAAATCACTATTATTATCTTATTTTAATACTATACGATTCCGTGAGCTACTTAAGGAACCCCTATAATTTATTTCTGAATTGAAGCCTCTTTAACATGCGCTGTGTCAAAAACCACCAAGTGTTGTAATTTTATCTGGCCCATTCCCACATTGCTTCCTTACTTTTTGGTACTTCCATTCCTACTTCCTAATTTTTTTAATTAAAAATGTTTTACACTTTTCTCATAGCTTTTCTTGGTGCTAAGTCTCGAGAGTGACTGGGCTCTAGTCCTATCCTTCTTGTAGCTTTTCTTAGAGCTATCTCTGGACATTTCCTGGTTTTTGCTGATACTTTTTCTATAGTTTTTTTTTCTATCTAGTTAGGATGTCAGCCTATTCTTTGGCTGGATTAATGACTAATCTTATCTCTATTCTTGCAGTAATACTCTCTTCGCTGGAGCAAAGACTTTTCAAGGTTATCAACATAAGATTTTCTCCTTTTCTCTCGTTTTGTTTCCTTGAAAAGCATATTTCAAAAATCGCACTGTTTAAAATACAACCTTAGATGTTAATAGGTCATACTTAGTTTGAAAATAAAGCAAAGATAAATTATACAACTTATTATTCTTGTTTTCAGTCCAGAACGCTCGAGCAAAGCCGTATCAGACTTCGGCAGTAGTAGCATTCGTCCTCACGTCTTAGGCACCGACTGCTATGATTGCTTTATCCAACATAGAACCCTCGAGTCAAATGTATAAAACTGAAAACTTCGCTTTCAAAGATTAGATCATAGTTAGAAACTAGATCTGGAGAACCAACGGCGCTCACGTTTTTTTATCTAGCTGATACAACTACAGGTTGATCACGTAGCGCGTGCGCATAAACAATCGTGCACCCACACGTGATATGACGGAGGGTTGTTACTTGGCAACTCACAGAACGTGCTCATAATCTTATAAGATGGCTACTAGTGTATTGTTAGCTCTTTAGTAATCTTGCATAATGGCTATCGTTATTACTTGTTATTACCAAAGTTATAAAAAAAAACGATTTTAGCCAGAGTAGCTTAATCCAATCATGTGCACTTAGATCTGCATAATGTGAAGGCAGAAGAGAATAATGCCTTTCCAACAACGTTAGTCAGTCAGATGGTCAGATTGTTTTGGTGGCTTGTTACTTTGTAGTTAGTTTCTTTATTAATAAATAGTGTGTGTAAAGTGTTTATAAAGATTTGTTTACATGTCTTTTGCAATGTGTTTGAGATTGTAATTTGTATTGCACTGGCCCATTTCTACTATAACTATTATTGTACTTACGATATGAAGAAAAAAGCTGGCATAATTGAAAGACGAATGAAACACTTCAAACAAATTCACAAACCAATATATGTTACGATAAATGTACCTAACCACGACTTTCAACTCATATTACACTAAATGCGAGTGTTATAGAACAAAACTCTTTAACTCACCATTCCAGGATGGTTCCTGGAAAAAATGGTATCAGTGAAAATTGAACCGAAAATAATGCAAAATAGGGAAAACTGTACTGAATAAGGCATCTTTTCTTCCCGAAAGAGAAAAAATACAGACAAATTTTACATTTATCATTTTTACGTAGGTATAATAAAAAAATTCACATCTTCTGTTGTTACAGAAGTAATTTTTATCAGTGTCGTCATTATGGAGCCATTATTATTGGTGTGATTTCAGTGTATCATTATATCCCCCACTTTTCATTTCTTCTGGTGCCATTTTTATTGACGACGTTATTGCTAGACACCATTTCAGAATAATTAAAAGTCTACTTGAAAAATAACTCTTGAATGATTTGCAAATTTTCAAACTTTAATTCATTTAATTCATACAGTGATAAATAAAGTACAAGCAGAAAATTTATAATTTTTTGCTAATATTTTTAGGTTGCTTTAGACTAGTAAATGCTTCACAACTTTTCGAAACAAAAATATTTGGACTAATATAAGACGATCAGCAAGGCCTAGAACAGTCGATGAAGATATCGTCCTATCGAGTTAGGATCATTGCAGTCTGGAAGTCGCAGTCCGCGGGAAATAACACATTCTTCAGCGCACAGTTGACCCATGAAATACCCTCCGTACATGTTTTTACACTGCCCACAGTTTCTAGGATATAATAATAAAATAATAAGCTTAGAGTGACTTTTGACAAATATATTAGATAAATTTAAAATAGATCTAGTTAAGATATAGATATAATTTTGTTCTTGTATTATATTGAATAAACAAACAAGTATTTAAATAGGGGTATTTAGATATATGTTGTAAAACAAATTATTTATTATTTCAACCTATAAATATAAAATATTATAAAAACAATAACTACAAGATAAAAACATTTTAATGTTTTATTTTACATTGTATATATATATATATATAATTTTCTATTTTGTATTGTTTGTTTATTTGATTGATTTTGAATTTCGCGCAAAGCTACACGAGAACTATCTGCGCTAGCCGTCCCTAATTTAGCAGTGTAAGACTAGAGGGAAGGCAGCTAGTCATCACCGCCCACCGCCAACTCTTGGGCTACTCTTTTAGCAACGAATAGTGGGAGTGACCGTCACATTATAACGCCCCCACGGCTGAAAGGGCGAGCATGTTTGGTGGGACGGGGACTCGAATCTGCGACCCTTAGATTGCAAGTCGAGCGCCTTATCCACCTGGCCATGCCGGGCGTTTTTCTTTTTGAATAGCATTAAAAACAATTTTAATATATTGTAGATTTTTAAGCGATTATTAAGCTGTGGCAAAAGCCTTTATACTGTATGTACAATTAAGTAATAATTAATATATTTTACTTAAATAAGAGGCTCGAAGTGCTTTTTGTACAAATGGTTAATATTTTAATAGATGTAAGAATCTAAATGATTTTTTAAGGGTTTAAGTAAAAGTTTCAATCGAATACCTTATTGTTATCTTTGATGAAACTTTGTGCCCTTCAAAGTTAGCACTATTGCACTAATCAGTATCGGGGTATTTTTACCTTTACCATTGATGTTTTAATATCTGTTTTGTACGTCTTAAATAACACTGGTCGGATGTACGAAATATTTGGTTTCTGCGTGTATGTTTAAAAAAAAAGGAACTTATATTGCTGCATTAAACTTGTTGCCTAATTTTTTTTATATGTTTGTTCGGATTTTTTATTGCATTTCTTCAGTTATTTGGTAGAGGGTAAATGAAGTTCTCAAAGTGACGTGGGAGTAATTAAAGGTGTCAAAGTGCAATCACATCACTTAAAAAAATAACCGTTTTTTCTGTTACATACCTACCTGCTTACTCCTTAATTATCCATTATTTTTATTTAGAGTTACTAATAACTGGAGATTTTTACTTTGAATTATATTTGCCAAACTGTGATTAAATATTGTTATAATAGTTATGATATATTAAATAAACACTATATATACATATGTGTGTGTGTGTTTGTGAGAAGATATGACAAAATACTTACATTATACAAATGCCAACAGATTTCGACACAACGTCTTCAGACATCATTATTAAGAAGAGGCATGGAATCAGGTGTATGTACCAGATTTTCAGTTTCATATTTTAGTCTTCCTTGAGATGTTCCAGTGCAGGTCTATAAACACAGATTTAACACTTAATTAAGAAAGTTAATAATCATCGGCCAAAAATAAACGACACGCCTTTAAAATATTGTTTAAAAAAATGGAAGAATTATGTGAAACATATAAAAGGTTAGCTGACAGTTTAGTTCAAGAAATATAACTCTTTCTATTTGTTATATATTGATATTTATATTTAATTTCGATAATGTCGTAAAACATTACATGAGAAAAAATTCCTTGAAATACGAAACTATAGTAAATATTTGTGTAAGATATGATTACCTTTTCATGCATGATAAACATAATAAAGCTGAATTTTTTTACGTTAAAATCTTAAAGAAAAGTTACCGTTACATAAACAGTCATGAGTATACTAAAACAAAAAACAAAGAACAAAACCACTTACGATTTAAACCGATAGTTTAATAATTTGATCATTAAACCTGATTTAAATGGATGTCATCTTTGAGTTTCATTTTGTTGAGGTTAGAATTGTGGATAATGTTTTAATTTTACATAATGTATTTGCATATCATACTACGGCCATTTATTCTACATCACAATTACGCTTAAACGTTTCTAACTAAATTTGAAGATAAAATTTGTTCTAACAACAAATTTCTATGCCTTAAATTTTTTTACTAGTAAAATAGCTTACCATTCGTAAAATCTATTTAAAAAGTATATTATTTTTGGAATATTATATTTTTCTGTGTTTGTAAAAAAAACTGGACAAACTATTTTATTGATTTACTAATAAATTTATGTTACGTTTTCAAGAAGGATATTAACTTCTTAATATAATGATTGGTTTATGAGTACTCGTGATATTGAATATGAAAAGAAATTTCGGAAATGAAAGCTTTCATCGCCGGCCATTATGCATATGTTTTTTATGCATAAAAAAGGTAGATAACTAACCTGAAGAAACGGATGAAACAATCTTCTTAGACGTTAATATCTAGCAGGGTCTGAAACTGTATGAAAGCCAAGTGAGTATCGAGTAAGATTCAACTGTTATTTTATACAACACCTGGATAACACATTTAGGAAAACGTCAATGCGCGAAAACAACTTGCCCATCAGTAAAGTGTACCTTGACGCATAGCGTGCAAAGTAGAGTCTCGTGATTGGAGAACTGTTCGTAAATATTAGATAAATGTAATCATAAGACTATCTTTTTTTCAAAAAGAATGTGTAACACGTTATAGTTGAAACTTATAGGTTACAGATGTTAACCAAACTTTTTCTTAGTTTTATACCAATCGGTTACTATACACAACATATCAGGGCTAGAATCATTTTGAGTTGGAATGTTTATGTTTTATACTCACAACTTACTAGCAGAAAAAATAAACTGTTAAAGCTAGAAGTACATATTTATTTTTTCGATGTGAAAACAAAGACTGTTTTATTATCTTTACAGACAAGTTGATGACGAAAATCAGATGTTTGATAACCAAAGCTTTCTATGTTATATATATACATTTTTACAGTTTTTCATTTTTCGTAATATAAGCCTTTTTACACAGATGAGTTTTTTAACTGGCTAAAAAGTCCTTCTTGAAAATCTTGCTCTAAGTTATTTATTTCACGTGGACGTGGACGTTATTAAGCTACATCTATAATTTCACATACGTGTAAAGTGGATTATACAAAGCTTTATGTTATTTTTTCAGTCTAAATGAGCGTATAAAATGTGTATACCTACAAACTTTGTTAAACAAATACCCAGAGTGTTAGAGTATGACTTATATTGTCAAACTTAATGAGCTTGAAACATTATATAATATGCACAGAGTCAGAAAATAAAGAAAATCCTAGATATTAGTACAAGACCAGACGTAGTATCTAACGGATCAATATTTCTATAAACGTTAGCATAAAATCAGACATAGTATCTAACGGATCAGTATTTCCATAAACTTTAGCATAAAATTAGACGTAGTATCTAACGGATCAGTATTTCCATAAACATTAGCATAAAATCAGACGTAGTATTTAACGGATCAATATTTCTATAAACATTAGCATAAAATCAGACATAGTATCTAACGGATCAATATTTCTATAAACATTAGCATAAAATCAGACGTAGTATCTAACGGATCAGTATTTCCATAAACATTAGCATAAAATCAGACGTAGTATCTAACGGATCAGTATTTCCATAAACATTAGCATAAAATCAGACGTAGTATCTAAAAAAATCAATATTCCTATAATACATCTTGAGTAATATGTCAGTCTGGTCAACCTTTGATCACTTCTTTTGGTTATTTGAGGGAGAGAAGCGTATTACAGAAATTGCAGTGATCAAATGTGTATCCATTGCTTGTAAGAAATGTGCAATAGTTTGAAAGTTATCTCATCAAAGAGTCTGAGTGAAACTTAATTTAGAATATATGAACAAGTTATGTTGACTGAACAGAGAGAACATTGACTAAAAAGAAAGAGAGGTGAAACATAAGAGTTTTTTGTTAACGAATATTAACGTTTTTCCAAAATAATATACTAATTATTTTCACGCTGTTTTCTCTGTATTTAGATAGATACTAAGAATGTCTGTATAACAAAGACATAAGTTCAACGTAAAAAAAATGTAAACCAGTTTTTTTTTAACCAGGCTAAGTTATAAGTTAATATAAACTTTACATAAAGTTAAACTAGTGTAAATAGAGAAAAGCTGTGAAGCATAGTTAGTATGCGGAAATCATACAGTGTAGTCATGTGTATAAAATAGAATCCAGCAGTGTAGGAAGGAGTTGCAAAATGGGGTGCTTGGCTAGACAAATAATAATGTAATTTACAGTTTCTATATAAGTCAAATATGTAAAAGTGAGGGTGCTACAGCACCCCTGGTTCCAACGCCTATGGAATATATGTGTGTTCCTAACAGATGCGTCTTTTCATAATGCTTCAGCGGTAAGCTTAGGGCTTATGACATTAAAATTTTGAATTAGATTCCTTGTTTTGTTAATATGAATTATATTATAGAAAAAAAAGTGTTCCAAAAGGGTACATTTCAGCATTACTCGTTTTCGTTTTCTATTTATTGAATATTTGTATAGTGTATAAATAATTTAATATATTTTTTATTATATTAAACGTAATATAATATAGAAAACAAATGGTTGCTACATAATAACAAATGAACTGTAAATTCAAGTTAACACGCAAGGATGAATATAGGAATAAAACCATAATTGTTTGGACAGCGTTAATAGCACTGTCTTTAGTAGGCCCGAGATTGGCCTAATGGTACTCTTTACGAAAACCAAGGGTAACAAATTCAATGAAAATATAAAGTAAGTTTTACACTATCAAGCACTTTGTTTGTGCATGGATAAGTGGATAATTTATTACATATTAATGATAATATTACAAGATAAAATAAATAAATAAATAATTATACAGAGTCGCATGATGAAATAAATTTCAATTAAAACTTAATCAAGTACATAAAAGCACGTGAATAATAAAAACTAACTCAATTATTATCCAAATGTATTTCACATGATTATCTATAAGGACTAATATGATGTAATTATTCCACTAAGAAATTAATATCACGCCCTCTGGTGGGCCTGTAGCTCTGGGGGGAAACTAATTAGCTTGTATACATACAGATAAGTTGGCTGTTTGAAGTTAAGTGATGTGTGACACCAGAAGAGAGCGAAGACTGTGTCAGTTGACTTTAGTCAGCGATAAGTTTATGAACTTACAACGCTAAAGTCTGCGATTCGATTTCCCACAATTTACACAACAGATAGCCTAATATAGCTTTGTGCTACAACAAACAAACAAACAAGCTAACTAGTTATAGCATTGGAGCAAAGAATCTCCTTCAAATGATACAATATGATTACTATTAACATAATTGGTCTGAAATGTTGTGGCTGTGATTGTAAACGAGTTCAAATATTGAGGTGATTTTATTTGAGCAGACTTTAATACTAGGTGGCAGTCCCAGGGGTTGCACTGACAGGTTCTTACCCTTCATTTGTAGGCGGGCTTCTTCGCAGGAGGAATAAGGGAGTTCCTTTACTGATGTTACCAGTGACCTTATGGCTGTATATTCTGCTATTGATTCCCCATCCTTTGTTTTACAACAAATTCATTCTATCTGAATGTTGATGAAGACCGTACATGATTGATAGAAAGTAGTTGGACTTTCTGTCAGTAGAGTTATACAGGAGTTGATAAAGATATGTCTCTTGTGAGCCTGTCAGGCTCTTCATTCAGCTTTAACTCTACGTGACATGACACATACATCCAGGTGATGGTCTTATTATGCATTTGCTTTTGCTTTCTACCACGCATCTGTGGACCAACCAGTATTGCCTGCGAGTCAGTTGCAAAAATTACGTTGGTGGCTCTGTCTATTTGTGGTTCATTTCTTTCAGCAATCCAGGGGAGAGCTTGCTTTATGAAATCCAGTTCAATCCTTGTGCTGCTTATGTGAAACTTGAATGCTCCGCCAGCCTTATGAAGGCAGTTGTTGCTCCACGAGTCAAAGAATACCCAACCAGTTCTCTAGTTATCTTTGATATAGGAATCATCTGTGGCTATGATGACAAGTGACTGTCTACTACGGTCTTTAAAAAGATGGTGGCAGGCTTTATTTACTCCACTTTCTGTCCAATATCTACGTTTTTGTCTAGGCTTATTTCCACAGGATCATGTGGAGCCATATGTTTATTCCACATTAGGGCATCTGAAATCTGATGATGATGGATTATCTCAGTAGTGGCTGATTAGTACCTGTATATTCATGAATGTCTCTTGAGGCACCTTTTAAGCAATCCCTTATTTTATTGATGTTTGTGAAGCTAAATTGCCTCTGTTGAAAAGAAAGTGGCTCGATAATGGAACGCAAAGCCTTAGAAAAGAACTTTGCTTCTAAGCATTGTTGATGCTCTGCGTTACTGCTGAGGCTTGTGAAGTGTAATAGGACTTTGATATGGTGGCTGAAGTACATCGTATGACCATTCTTAAACATGATTTTTGCATTTTCTCAATATTATCTAGTTGCATAGCTCTCATACTGATTATCGATGATAGCAAATAAATCAGGATGGAGTAGATAAGGCTTTGTAGAACATAAGCAGGTGACGATCTTCAGCTCTATTTCCTCCTGCAACTTTTAGTGCATTGATGCCTTTGCCAACATTGGTTATCTTGGTGATCATGTGACTGAAGTTCTAGTTACAGCCTCGTTTGAGCTCTTGCCTTTGAGAAGAGATTGGTTTGAAAGACTCTTATATCATCATTACATTTTCCACCTCCGCAATATGAACTTACTTTATTTATTTATTTATTAAGTAGACTATTCGTCCCCTGGACGGAAGTTATGTAAATTCATGATTAACGAAAGGTTATCTTAGGAGATGAAAAGTTGCTTCTCTTATATGTAATTGTAAAAAACGCAAAAAACGCCCATAAAAATGCAAAACATAAAATGTGAAACTGCAAATTTTCATGTATCTCCGCATGTACCCAATAAACTTCCATACCAGCTTCGGTGAAGATCCATCCACACCCTGTGAAGTAGTTACATTGGTATACAACAGACAGTACTATTATATCATGTAGATTCTATTTTTTTTTTACACTGCTGGTGATTTTGCTGGATGTCACCAAAAGCCTTTAGTAGTTTTAGCATATATAATGAATTAAAAGAATTATATTAGGTCGTCATAAAATTATTGTCGCGTGTTGGAACACTTTCATTAAT